CTCATTGATGTTTCTAACTCTCTATCCTTCTCTCTTCCTCTGTAAAAAAAAAAAAAAAAAAATCAATAAAATATATTAAAAAAAATGTTTAGTTATCTTCAGAGGTGAATAGTACATCTGACAGGAGCATATCAACAACACAGATAAAAAATTCTTTTAACTCAATTATTTTCTCAGTGCTATAATCTGTGTGTCAGACTGACCCTGGCAGTCAGGGATGCAGCTCTAGTCATCTGTGTATTTCCCCAGGGCTCAGGCTTGTACACAGAAGATAGCTAACAAATAAAAACTGTAAAATGGAGAAGAAACCAAGATGGCGGCCTAGGTAAGCACCTAAGCTGCCGCCTGGCACAACAATTTCAAAACAACTAAAAGACAGAACGGACATCATCCAAAACCACAGGAAAGCTGGCGGAGTGGGAAATCTACAAGGAGAAAGTAGAGAGGCTCAAGGGCGGCCGAGTGCCTGGCTGACGGAAGGGGAAAGGAAGCCCCCGGCTGCGGCTCCACTGAACCCCAGTTCCAACTACACTAAACCCCAATCCTGTCCAGAACCCCGTGGACCCAGGCTCATACTGGTGAAATCTGGACTGTAGAGAAAGGCACCTGGAGACTCAGAGACTGGGAGACTCAGGGGAGCCGGGAGCCGCAGCAGGCAGGGTCTACAATCGTGCGAGTGAGTGTGCGCAAAGAGATCTGACCACAGAGGTTGCCAAAGCTTCTCCATAGTGAAAGAAGTCGGAAGCATCAGACTACAGAGACCCAACCCAATTCCAGTCGAGCCCCTGGGACACCCATGCTCTTGCAGAGGGAATCTGAGTTGTTAAGGTGGAAACTCAGGAGCTGCAGAAGGCAGAGGTCTGAGGCGCACACTCAAGGGCAGGACTGACTGGGCGCCGTTCTAAGAGGATGGGATGCAGGCTACTCCACACACAGGCCTGTGATAACATAGGACATGTGGTTTCAGAAGACCGCAGCCTTACTGTTAGAGGCAAAGGACAATCCTCGGAAGAAGCAAGAAGAGAAGAGAATCCAGAAAGTTGAAGTTAGTGTAAGGAGCTTCTGGGACAACCTCAAGTATATCAACACCAGAATTATGGGGGTGCCAGAAGGAGAGAGAGAGCAAGATACTGAAAACCTATTTGAAGAAATAATGACCGAAAACTTCCCCCACCTGATGAAAGAAATAGACTTACAAGTCCAGGAAGTGAACAGAACCCCAAACAAAAGGAATCCAAAGAAGACCACACCAAGACACTTCATAATTAAAATGCCAAGAGCAAAAGACAGAATATTACAAGCATCAAGAGAAAAGCAGGTAGTTACATATAAAGGAGCACCCATATGATTATCAGCTGATTTCTCAACAGAAACTATGCAGGCCAGATGGGAGTGGCAAGAAATATTCAAAGTGATGAGTAGCAAGAACCTACAACCAAGATTACTCTACCCAGCAAAGTTATCATTCAGAATTGAAGGTCAGATAAAGAGCTTCACAGATTAAAAAAAAGCTAAAGGAGTTCATCACCACCAAACCAGGATTACATGAAATGCTGAAGGGTATTCTTTAAGAAGAGGAAGAAGAAAAAGGTAAAGATAAATATTATGAATAACAAATACATATTTATCAACAAGTGAATCTAAAAATCTGAGGAACAGAATAAACTGGTGAGCCAAAACCAGTTTGGCTCAGTGGATAGAGCATCTTCCTGCAGATTGAGAAGTCCCAGGTTCGATTCTGGTCAAGGGCATGTACCTTGGTTGCCGGCACATCCCCAGTAGGAGTTGTGCAAGAGGCAGATAATGGATGTTTCTCTCTCATCGATGTTTCTAACTCTCTATCCCTTCCTCTCTGTAAAAAAATCAATTAAATATATATTTTTTAAAAAATAATAAACTGGTGAATGTAATAGAATCAGGGGCAAAGAAAGAGAGTGGATTGATAATTATCAGGGGGAAAGGGGTAAGGGAGGTACAGGAAGAGACTGGACTAAAATTGTACACCTATGGATGAGGACAATGGGGTGGGGGAGGTAAGGGCAGAGGGTGGGGTGGAAACTGGGTGGAAGTGAGCTATGGGGGGGAAAAGGAGAAACAATTGTAATAATCTGAGCAATAAAGATTAAATAAGTAAGTAAATAAATAATCTCACAAGTTTACAAGGACAAGCCCAGACTCTGCCACTAGGTGGACCATGTTCTTCACCTCTCTGGGCCCCACCCAGTTTCTTTAGCTACAAAAGGGGTTGTTTGGGGTTGGTCCTAAGATCCATTCCTGCCTTCTCAATCATAGTATAAGACATCAACAGAGCTATTTTCAATTTTAAACTAAAACTCACTTACTTGGAAAGAGATAAAACTGCTCAAGCTAACTAGGGCTGTTCTTAGATTCTACAGTATAGAGATTTTCGCCAAAGAATTAATTCCCCTCATCTACTGTGCTACAAATCTCTTGAAAACTCAATTATCAGTGTTGTTATGAAAGTCAAGAGCAAAGAAAGGTAGTGGTCATTAAGAGATATTTGATACTTTTCTGCAAAATGACTATTAAAGAGATCTTAGAAAAGGGGGTGGGAAGGAAAAGTGAGGTAAAGAGAAAGCAGATACAATATACAGAGTGGGCAAAAGTAGGTTTACAGTTGTTCATATGAAAAATGGCTTGCAGATTATAATTACTACAATAACTTTATTAATACAAAATAATGTTGTAATGGCAGAGTAAACCTACTTTTCCCCACCTTGTATGTAAGATACACTAATGGGAAGGGGGTGAGGGAAGCGGCATTCCTGCTTGTTTACTTCCAGAGTCACAGGTTCCAGGTGAAATCTTTCCAATTAATTAGAACTTCTCCAGAATAACCTAAAAATCCTTTAAGCAGAGGAAAGTATAGTTTCAGTCATGAAAAAATGGGCATCTTTCCCACACAAATGTCCCCAGTTAACTTTCAAATGTCAGTGAGGATGGAAGCCAAATACTGCAAATCTGCTTTAAATGCCATTCTCGGGGTTGCAAAAAAGCTAAATAATATTAAGAGTTCACTAAGGTCTCTAAAAGGAAAATTTCTGATTAAAAAGACACGTCTAAGTCTTCTTAACCAACAAACTACCTAAGGAACTGTTTGAAAAGATAGGCTCAGCAGGCCAACATGAATTTCATTTACTGAAACGTCTCAGGCACAAGAAATCAAATACTTATCAATCCTGAGATCTAGAAAACCCTATCCAAGCTCAAATGAATGCTCACCTCTTTCTAGACTCCAGAAATCTAGACAAAGGTATCACTGCTTAAGGCCGGAAAGATTACAGTGGGACCTTTTCCGTGGAGAAGGAACCTGGTGCTTCCCTTCTCTCCCTGTCCTCCCTGAGCTGCCATAAACAAGTCCTACAAACAGACGTCCTCTGAGGCCACGTTGTTATTGCAGAATTTTCTTGGCTTAAAAGCACTGATCACTTCCTTCTCATCATTTTTGTGGAGCAGTGATTATTAGGGTGTTACTTTCAATTTCACCCAGATGCCAGAAAGCCCAAGTTGGGTTTCTAGTCTAAAGTGGGAGAGAACTGATTTTATGATTTACCACTGGTATCAAAGTAGGAATGCACTGGCAAGCCAGGAGGATAAGCCACCCACCCTAGCTCTACTGCCACAAGCAGATCAAGATGTCCCGCCCGCCGGGCAAGTTCCATCCACATTGGCCAGAATGGAGGGGGTGCAGAAGCCACAGGTTCAGGGGCTCCCCAGCGTTCACTTCTTCTCTCCATTAAAGCACTGAGGTTTCCAGTGCCCACATGAGACCAGGACAACTTACCTGGAGTTGATTCTCTTGCATCCTAGAGCCGCCACTTCAAAGGGCCTGTCGCAGCCCAGCGTCGGGGAGGAGGGGGGCCTCCCCACGAGTCCACCACTTCTCCCATGGGATTTCGCTTTTTGGAGGGGCAGCCACCCCGCACCCCCTGGACCAGAGGGCTGACCAGGAGCCAAAGGTGATTCAGCACCTCCGCCAAAGCGCGCCCCCGCGGGGCCAGGTGTTAATGCCCCGGGCCCGGCTCGCACCCCAACCCCCGCACCGCCCCGTCCCGTCCCCGCAGCCCTCGGAGCTCTCGGAGCTCTCCTCGCGGGCCCTTCCCGGAAACCTTCGGCCCGTCGGTCACCCGACTCCATCCTCAACCCCGCGGCCTCTCAGGCCCCGAGCCCTCAGCCCTCCCGGCCCAGCCCTTCGGCTCCTCAGCTCCCACCCCCACCCCCCTAGTCCGCAGCCCGGCCCCTCCACTGCTCAGCCCCGGCCACCGGTACCTCAGCCCCGCGCGGCCCTGGAGGCTTCCACCGGCTGGCGCCGGGTCCCCGCCGCTCGGCCCTCAGCCCTCCGGTGCCAGGCCCTCCGTCAGCGCCCGGCCCCCCAGCCCGGCCCGCCGCCTCGGCCTCTCCGGCCCCCGCCAACCTCCGGGCCCCTGAGCCGGGCCCGCCGGCTCGGCCCCTCAGCTCTCTCTCTCCAGCCTCCGCCAACCTCCGGGCCCCCGGCCCGGCCCGCGCCTCGGACCCTCGGAACTCCCGGGCCCGGCCGCCCTCGCCAGCCCCGGCGGGGTACCCACCGAAGGTGCGGCGCTGCTTGAAGGTCTTCTCCGACGGCATGGCGCGCGAGGCGGGAGCAGGCGGCGAGGCAGAGGGTCCCGCAGCTTTCGGTGGCGGAGGTCCCGACGACGTCGACCGCGACTTCCCTTGTGTTTCTTCAGCCCGCAGCCGCGTCAAGTGACCGGCGCGCCGCCCCGGGAGGCGGGGCCAAGGGCGGACTCCGCCGCCGCCATAGCGTGCGTGGCGGAAGCAGCGCCGCGCGCAGGGCCGGGGGCGGGGCGTGGGGCGCACCGCCCAGCGCATGCGCACGAGAAGGACCAGCGCCCAGGTCGTGGGGACCGAGCGAGGACGGTTCACTGTGTGTCCGCGCTCCCCCTCGCCCCACGGAGACGCGTGGGTGTTCCTCTCGGTATCCCTGCCGTGTGGTGCTGTCCCGCGTGGCTGGCTGCTCTGAGTTCGCGTGCCCAGCGCTCCGTGCTGGTGACTCTTAACCACTCTACCTGATAGAGTATTTTTGTGCTTCTATCGCAGGGTTTCACTGACCTTGGAAATGCTGGTTTTTGTTTGTATTCTTTGGCTTACCAGGTAGAGCACATTCAGTTGTGTGTGTGTATGTTTTGTGAATGAAAAGAGCCACATGCCAACCTGACAAGCTCAGGGGAGGCCTGCCTGGCTTCTTGCAAACTCAGAGACCTAAAATAACCACAAAAGATGGTTTTAAAATTAAAAATCAGGTTATAGTGGGTAGTCATGTCCTAGACCAGTGTTTCCCAAACTTTTGACATATGTCTACCCCTTCTATAATTTTCGTAATGCTGAGTACCCCTCGTACTCATGAGAATGTAGAATTAGGCGCAGCTAAGCACGGTGCAGTGCATATCCCCAACAAACTCTTTCCGCACCCTGAGGATATGCGTACCACACTTTGGGAAACACTCTCGTAGACCGATATTTCACCTGACAAAGATCAACTTAGATCTTCTTTACTGAGCCATTTGCCTTCCTGAGTCTAAGATATATCTGTGAGAGGTCTGGGTAACTTGTAACTTCCTTTATACCCCAGTTTATTGAGGTTCTGCTTCCCGGCATATGTCGACAGTTTGGCTCAAATAAACTCACTAAAATTCTTTACAGGTTTCAATGGTTTTTTTTTCGTTAACATTTTAATTTTAAGAATCTCCACTAGTGACTTCTGTCACATGTTGTCTTAAGTTATTTCAGTATTTGTTTACTAGAAGCTAACTTTGGAATCTCTTATCTAGGCCAGCTTTTATAATGCAAGTTATTAGAGGGTAACCACTTATTTGAAAGGAAAAACCCTTTGCTATGTTAGCAGATTAACTAATTTCAGCTGTTAAGCCACTGATTGCTGGACAAGTCTTAAGTTTACCAACTTTGGGCCTTTTAATAAAAATTTAAAAAGGCAGCTAGAAAATAGATTTAGAGCTGTTGGTGCAATGTCTTATGTTTTATTGAAGGTGTGTTTATTGAAAGTAAGAGTGCTATGTTAGTGAAAGGTCTATAGAAAAGGGAAAATCAAACCCCTTTCTACACAATAGAAAACAAGTGAGAGTGTTTAAAAATGTGTTCATAAAAGTCCATCTCAGGCAGTGGTTCTCAATCTTTCTAATGTGCGGGGTGATGGGGGTGATGCCTTCCCCTGATCGGCCAGTTGCCTCCCACAGAAGAGCAGACAATCCCTGGAATGAGAGGGGGCAGGCTGGGCTGAGGAACCACCTACCCCAGTGCATGAATTTTCATGCACCGGGCCTCTAGTAGGTTTATAAAGAGAAATGTTAAAAGAGAGTTATATAGATGAAGAGGCCAGTAAGCCTGGACAAGTGGAATAGGGAAACTGCAGTTAGCAACCACTCAATCTAGATGCCAAGCAGTCTGCAGCCATCTAGTTAAGTCCAATGAAGAATAAATGGTTTGCACTGGAGGGTAAATAGCTTATATCACCCTACTTACAGAGATAGCAGAAAACCAATTACTGCCATTTGCCAACCACACCCAAGGACAAATGAAGTTAAGAGAATAAATCTCATTTTGGTATATCAGCATAACACTGGTGAATTCTACTAAGATACTTCTCTAATGCTCAGTCTATAAAACTCCTCAAAATGAAGGCCTGATGTATGCTCTCCTGAATAATAAATTTAATTAAGAAATTTAAACGTCAAAAGTAAGCTAATACTGAGTTAGAATTTGGTTCTTTTCTACTTTGTTATAAATACAAGGATGTACTCGTCTTCCAAATATAAGGAGACATTTTAAAAACAATTTTGGCCCTAGTTGGTTTTGCTCAGTGGTTAGAGCGTTAGCTTGCAGACTGAAAGGTCCAGGGTTCCATACCTGTCAAGGGCACATGTCCAGGTTTCGGATTCAATCCCTAGTAGGGGGCATGTAGAAGGCAGCTGATCAATGATTCTCATCATTGATGTTTCTATCTTTCCCTCTCCCTTCCTCTCTGAAATCAATAAAAATATATAATAAAGTAAAAATAATTTGGTAAATATATTTTCTCTCTGCCTTATCCCCCAGAATTTGGCAATTCTTAATAAGTAAATCATGGCAATACATTTCTTTGTATGAATTCAATAAGACCAGTTTCCAATTATAATTTTATCAACCAAGACTTTGACTGGAATGCCATGTCTGAGAGTGACATGCCTGGACTCAATATTAGCAGAAAGCTTTAAGGAAGGTAAATGACTTTGAAGCCAATAAGAGTCCCTTGGAGAAAAGCCTAGTATCTTACTTCATCACATAGTTCATGGCAGTCTTTCCAGGTAAGGAGTAAAGATTGCTTTCCTGAGAGATGGTAAGAAAGGAACCTCAAGACATCATTGGGAATCTCAAGAACTTGAGGAATTTACCCAAGTCTACAGGTATTGCAGGAAAACCTGGTGGCAACTAGGTGGCTCAACTTCTTTGGCCTGAAGAGTTCATTAAAGTTCAATCATGAGATTCCAGCAAAGCAGATTTTAAAAGCGCCTATACAGTCAGTTGCTATTCTTATTGTGTTTATGTAAACAATAATGCCAAATTAAAACTAAACTTTTTAACAAATATTTTTTATTGATTTCAGAGAGGAAGGGAGAGTTAGAGAGACACAAAAATCAACAGTAAGAGAGAATCATTGATCAGATGACTCTTGCATGCTCCACAGGGGATCAAGCCCGAAACCCAGGCATGTGTCCTGACCAGGAATCGAACTGTGTCCTCCTGGTTTATAGATCCAGGCTCAACCGCTGAGCCACACTGGCTGGGCCAAATTGAAACTAATCTTAATGCAGTAAATTAATTGGTCTTAATATGGCGCTTTAATGACAATGAGGGTGGTTTTAGGGGGAAATTTTTGGTTTCAATAGACTCTAATACACAGTTGTTTAATATTAAAGTAATTCAGTTAATTGTCTTCAAAATTTATTTTTCACCTGTGAATTGAACTGGATCTAAATTTATTTCATTTTCTAAAATATTTTCCTACATCTCTCCAAACTAATGCTTCATTTTAACCCACCCTTTGACTTGGAATCAGTGAGTATTAAAATGCTTTTCCTTCCACTGGACCATTTGTCATAATTCTTGTTGTCCTAGCCTTGCTCCAGTAATACTAAGGTATATAACCCAGTTTGTCTCCACCAAGTTACAAGCCCTACTCATATTCAGGGAATACCACCGCTAGACACCATTGCCACCTCCTTCCATGTCCAGGCCTCATTGTCTCTCTGACAGAGAGCAAGGTTTTCTTGGCTCTGAAGAAAATGTCACCCCCTTTCAGCAGCTACAGAAGAGACCCTTTTCTTTGAGAGATTTCTGAAACAAGATCTTTGAATGGGGGAGGGAGATTGTTGTAGGCAGTTAGACAGATCTGAGGAGAGCAAGGACGATGGGCCAGGAACAGAAGGTCACTAGAATGGAAAGCCCCTGGTGCCTAGTATTGGACATCAATTATAGGGTGACTTTTCATCCCCTAGCATATCATTGGTCATGCTGTTTGGACCCCTTGACCTTTCTTCCCTCGAGATAACATCTAGGCTTCAATTGTATTTCACCTCTGAGTCCAGATAAGCAATAAAGCCAGCCACTGCCGATGTCAGGACCAGCTGCGTTGAGTAATGATGCCCTGTTCCGGTGCCAGCCAATCCATCATTGGAGGCTACAACCCTAAAGGGACACACTTGGAAAACTGCTGAGTATTCTATTAAGATTCTTCCCTGGGACCTTCCCTAAATTCTCAACAGTAGAGTATTCTGAGAATCAAATCAATGATTTGGAATATGAGGAAGCAAAAAAATCAGAAGGACAAAAAAAAAGAGAGAGAGAGAGAGAGAGAGAATCCAAAAAAATATGAAGATAGTGTAAGGAGCCTCTGGTACAACTTCAAGAGTACCAATATTTGCATTATGGGGGTGCTAGAAAGAAGAGAGAAAGATATTTAAAACCAATTTGAAAAAAATAATGACAGAAACTTCCCCTACCTAGTGAAAGAAATAGATTTACAGGTACAGAAAGTGCAGAGAGTTCTAAACAAGAAGAATCAAAAGAGGCCCACACCAAGACACATCATAATTAAAAATTCCAAGGGCTAAAGACAAAGAGAGAATCTTAAAAGCATCAAGAGAAAAGTGGTTAGTTATTTACAAGGGAGTGACCATACAACTGTAAACTGATTTCTCAATAAACATTTCAGGCCAGAAGGAAGTGGCAAGAAATATTCAAGGTGATGAATAGCAAGGTCCTACAACAAGATTACTCTATCCAGCAAAGGTATCATTTAAAATTAAAGGTCAGATAAAGAACTTCACAGACAATAAAAAGCTAAAGGAGATGACCACCACCAAAAGTATTACAAGGAATGTTGAAAGTCATTCTTTAAGACAAGAAAGGAGAAGAAGGAGGAAGAGGAGGAGGAGCAGGAGGAGGAGGAAAAGGAGGAAGAGGAGGAGGAGGAGGAGGAAAAAAATATGAATATAAAATGGCAATAAATACATAAATCTATCAACAATTGAATCTAAAAATAAAAACAAATGAATAAGAAATCTAATGAATAAAATAGAACCAGAGGCATGGGAACATGAAACAATGATGAATCTCAGAGGGAAGGGAATTGGAGGGGAGTTATAAAGAGATTAACCAAAGATCTTATATGCATTCCCTATGGACACAGAAAACAGTGTGGTGAAGGCTGGAACTGGGTGGTGGCAGGCAGTGGGGAGATAAAAGGGAGACATCTGCGATACATTCAACAATAAAGTTTTTTTTTAAAATAAATAAAATAAAATCCTTAGGATGGAGGAACCAGTGCACTGTCCCTCCCATGCCTTCCCCCTCTCTCTTCACCCAGCACATTACCATTAGCCTCCTCATTCCCAAGCTCCAAGAGCTCTTCACTTTGCCTCGCTAACTTGTTTCCGAAGCTCATTTCTTCTAGGAATTGCTTTTTCTAACTCTGTAATTTCCTCTATAAATCTCTTACAGTTTTGTGTCTTGCTCTGAATTCTTTCCTAGCCAGAACCCAAGCACGGAGGATGCTGAACCTAGTTTTGGTTTAACCCCATGGGTCAGACACCTGGTGCCATTCCTGCTGCCAACAACACATCTAGATGAACAGCAAATGCTTCTTTGGCTGGTTTTTGCTCTTTAATATCTAATACTTTGAAAGATAGCCTATATTCAGGATTTTGGCCCTTTTAAGTTTGTAAAAGCCTTTTTTTTAAAAAAATTATTGTTTAAGGTATTACAAATAGTAGTATATGTGTCTTTTTTTTCCCCCTCTACTGAGCTCCTCAAACCCCCCCTCCCTCCACTACCTGCCAGCAATTGCCCTCATTCCTCCAACCCCAGTGTCTTAAGTCTGTTGATTGAGTTTATATGCATGCATACAAGTCCTTCAGTTGATCTTTTATTCCCCCTCACCCTCCGCTACCTTCCCGCTATAGTCTATTCGATGCTTCTTTGCCTCTATTTTTGTTCAGCAGTTTGTAATGTTCTTTATTATCCATAAATGAGTGAGATCATGTGGTATTTATCTTTCACCGACTGGCTTATTTCACTTAGCATAATGCTCTCCAGATCCACCCATGCTGTTACAAATGGTAAGGCTTCCATCTTTATAACAGCAGCATAGTATTCCATTGTGTAGGTGTGCCACAATTTTCTAATCTATTCATCTGCTGATGGGCATTTAGGCTGTTTCCAAATCTTAGCTATTGTAAATTGCACAGCTATGAACATAGGGGTTTATATTAATATATCCTTTCTGATTGGTGTTTCTGTTTTCTTGGGATATTTTCCTAGAAGTGGTATTCCTGGGTCAAATGGCAGTTCCATTTTTAATTTTTTGAGGAAACACTATACTGTCTTCCACAGTGGCTGCACCAATCTGCATTCCCACCAACAGTGAAGAAGGATTCCTTTTTCTCCAAATCCTCTCTAGCACTTGTCATTTGTTGATTTGTTGATGATAGCTGTTCTAACAGGTATGAGATGGTACCTCATTGTTGTTTTGATTTGCATCTCTCTGATGATTAGTGACTTTGAGCATGTCTTCATGTGTCTCTTGGCTTACTGAATGTCCTCTTTCAAAAAGTGTATATTTAGGCCCTTTGCCCATTTTTTGATTAGATTATTTTCCTTTTGTTGTTTTGAGTTCCTTGTAAATGTTGGAGATTAAGCTGTTATTGGAGATATAACATTGGCAAATATGTTCTCCCATGCAGTGGGCTTTCTTGTTGTTTTTGTTGATGGTTTCTTTTGCTCTGCAGAAGCTTTTTATTTTGATGTAGTCCCATTTGTTTATTTTCTCTTTAATTTCCATTGCCCTAGGAGCTGTATCGGTAAATATATTGATATGACAAATGTCTGCTATTTTGTTGCTTATAGCTTTTTCTAGGATTTTTATGGTTTCCCATCTTATGTTTAAATACTTTATCCAGCCGAAACCGGTTTGGCTCAGTGGTAGAGTGTCGGTCTGCGGACTGAAAGGTCCCGGGTTCAATTCCGGTCAAGGGCATGTACCTTGGTTGCGGGCACATCCCCGGTGGGAGGTAAGCAGGGGGCAGCTGGTCGATGTTTCTCTCTCATCGACGTTTCTGGCTCTCTATCTGTCTCCCTTCCTCTCTGTAAAATATCAATAAAATATATTAAAAATAAATAAATAAAATAAATAAATACTTTATCCATTTTGATTTTACTTTTGTGTATGGTATAAGTTGGTGGTCTAGTTTCATTTTTTTGCAAGTATCTGTCCGGTTTTCCAAATACCACTTATGGGAGACTGTCTTGTCTCCATTGTATGCTCTGGCCTCCTTTGTCAAATACTAATTTGACATACTGGCTTGTGTCAATCTCTGGGTTCTCTGTTCTGTTCCACTGGTCTATATGTCTGTTCTTGTACCAGTACCAGGCAGTTTTGAGAACCGTGGTGCAAAAGCCTTTCATATATGCCTGTTTGATAAAGTACCGTAATTGGAGTGTGCTAATACGCATTACTATACAAATGTATAAAACATTCTAATATGTATTTCTCAAAGTGGTTTTAAGACAGTTGGGATTTTTTTCTTAATAGAGAAGCAAGTATATTACAGTTCCCATGTAATTATTCCACACGACCAAAACAATGATGTTAGTTGTAGCTCTTTATTTTGCGAGTGTCTACAAACGAACAGTGCATTTGTGCATGTGTCACTTGCCATCTCA